GAAGAACAAAATGCGTCTCAACCTCCACCACAACCTCATGTTATTGATGAAGAAAAGATCGCAAGTATACTGAGGAAAGTGGTGAAGGACGAGGTGAGGACAATAGTGCAGTAAGAGGTGAGGAAAGTGTTGAAGGACGAGATGAAAATGATTTCGGAGCAAATGGAGACGAAGATGGAGATGAAGATGGACAATTTGTTCGAGAGAATGAAGAACGTGTTTTTTGAAGCAAAAGATAAACCATCTACCCGAGGTACTTATGATGGGACATATGATGACCCAGATGATGAGGTGGAGCAAAATGTGCGGGATACGGAGACCGTTTACCCAGGTAATTTTTATATATATATATATATATATCAGTGCATTATTTTAATATTATTACTCGATCATTTTAATATTTTTTGTAGTAAAAAAATTATTTTAAAAGAAATGCAAATCATGTTATTGAACTATTTGATTATTTTTTTACTTTGCAGACACGATGAAATCACCATCTCCAATGCCCGAACAAGAAATGGCTGGACTTCATGATGATGCGGGTATGTAAAGTATAATTGTAACTACTATGTAATATGATGGTGGATTCTTGTAAATAAAACAGTATTGATTGTTTTCTTGCTTATTGTAGGTTTTGTGAGCCACCTGTCATCATCCATTGTTGTGTACGATCAGAGACAACTGCCGCCGACAACAATTGAGATGGAGAACACTGTTGAAGACGAGACGGCGGCAGCAATTGAGTTGGAGAATACCGATGAAGATGATCCACCTGAGTCTCCTAAGGGGAGAGGGCACCGGAAGAAAAGAAAGGCCGCCGTTCTACGTACTCCGTGGAGGAATATTGAAAAGAGAAATTAATTTACAACTGTGACGGAGTATGACCCTCATAGGCCAGTGGATCCAGCTAAATTTGAAGATCTCCAAACGTGGTTGATGAATTCCCCTGAAAGGTATGTAATTGTGTTAAGTTAATTGTGGCTTACTTATTGTAATATATATGCTTTGTATGTCTTTGTTTAATTTATAAGTTTCTTATGTAGTGCTGAAGTTGAGTTGTCCTGTGGTGGTGTAGCACGAAAAAAGTTTTTCGAAGATCTTGTGAACGATCGTTGGCTCAGTAGTGAGGTAAACTATTTAAAAAAAATTATTCAATATTTAACTTTTGAAAAACATGATATTAAGTAATCTAATAAACATAATACTCTTATGATAGCATATAGATGAAGCGCTTTTTCACATTCGAGAGTGTGCCAAGCAGTATTCTCTCTTGTTTAGACAAGACTGTGTTGTATTGGACACGATTTTCGTGTTATACTTGAGAAACCACTTCAAGAAGATGTCGAAGAATAAAAAAGATGTGGTAGATTTTCTGAATGCCTTGATTAGATACGCCTCAGGGGATCTACCAAATAATGCAAAGCCGTTGAATGATTGTACGAAATTGTTTGTTCCTTTCTGCGACGAGGGCCATACCCACTGGGTCGCATTGGAGATTGATCTAGCCGAAAGATGCATTTACGTCCATGATAGCGAAAGAACTCACATGCGGAATGCACAACTGCAAAGGGAACTGGAGCCCATTCGAGTTGTGTTACCGATGCTATTGAGGACGGTGAATTCTAACTACAGTCCGAAAAAGTTTGATTGGAAACGGTTGAAATCTCCTGAACAAAGCAATGGGTACGTATAATATACATTGTGATCATATTAAGTTTTTAAGTTATGAAATTTGGCCAACTAATAGAATTTGTACATTTATGTTTTTGCAGGTTTGATTGTGGGATGTTTACAATCAAGTTTATCGAGTTTTTGCATGCGGGGAAGAATATTCAAGACGTAGATCAGTCTATGATTAGTGATTGGCGTGTAAAACTAGCGGCTTAAATATTTGCTGCTCATTTTGATCCGTAGTTTGTTGTAAACATTTGGGCGTTGTTCATTTGTGAAGGATAATAAATTTTTGTGGGTTGCTTATTTTTTATGTAAAGTTTATCAAAACTTTTTGTGGGTTGCTCAAAACGGTTAAAAATATAAAGTTTATGAAAATTGTTAAAAGTATTACTGTAACTATATAATATCAAAATGGTCTTTTAATGCAGAACTAATTAAAAATTGAGCCTATTTTTTTT